AACAGTAACAGTCCCTTATATGCTTTCAATGGTGCCTTTAAAAGTTCTTTCACACATATGTTCTCATTAGGTCGTACAGACCACCCTGAGGTTGGCAGGGGCGATCACCTCTAGTCTGTGATGGGCAAGCGGGGCCTCCCCGAGGCTGGGCAGGCCCCAGGCCACGGGGACAGGCTGTGGTTGTACTGGGGCTCCTCCCGCGCTTCTCCTTCTCCAGCATCACCTCTGCCTACGATCACAGCGTTACTTGAAAACAACTGGATTTGCACGTATTTACTTGGCATGGAAAAGTTGATAAATGATCAGTTTCGGCACGTGGGTTCTTCTCAGCTGGACCGTAAGCTTCTCAAGGGCAGAAGCCCTGTTCCTGCATTTCTTTTGCATCCATCTGGCTGATCAGCAGACCCCTCCGCCTAGCGCCTGAGTGTTTAAAAAAGTGCTCTCCCAAGTATTCTCTCAACTGAACATGGTGCCCACGCATTCCTGCTCCTGGCCCCTCATCACGCACTTCCCAGTCACCACTCCTTGGAACTTCTGTCCCAGGTTGACTGGCTCTTAGTCTTTGACAGTCCTACTTAATGTTGCCCTGAATTACTGCTCCCTCTGTTCCCTTGGTCTGTGATCTTCAGGGAGGGACTGACATTACAAAGGAAGACAGAGCTTCGAACTATCACCTTGGAGTGGTTAGGATTTTAGTAACAAGCTACAGTATCTTTAAAAAATCATGAAAAGCCCAGGTAACATCTCCTATGACATGAGACATCTTTGGTGTTTGCTTTTACCATTGATCTTGAACAACATGGGTTTGAACTGAGCAGGTTCACTAATATGTAAACAGTTTTCAATAGTAAATACTACAGCAGTGAATAGTCCAGGGTTGGTTGAACACACAGATGCAGAGGAACCTCAGATTCTTTGACATCGCTGGGGGGGGGCAAAATAAATTATATGCAGATTTACCCCCTTGTTGTTTAAGGGTCAATTGTATTTTTTTCAAGAACATAGATAATTCCTCCCTGGCCAAAACATTCTTAGCAAGACGTACCTAATTCAACAGGAAGAGTTACTTGTAAAGGAACAAACACCTAGATATCCGTTTTTGACATCAAAGAGAATGCTTTTCACAAATTTCCAGCAGTCATGGGCATTACAAACTCTCTGAGGAAAACATGCAGCAAACATTCTAAGTGACAACGTTTCAAAATGAATTCAGGAATGGACTGTGAGACATTGTTCCCAGGAACATGAGCTGTGTGAACTAAATGAATTGATGGCAGAAAATGTCCTCGTGAACCCAGACCTTGGAAAAAGTCTTCGTCTTGCCCTGTTCTGTGGGTTAAAAGCATAGATGAAGACAACTTAAAAGTGTACTTTTTTAATGCTTGCTCTTGACTACAAGAATAGGAGAAACAGCAATATCAAAGACTGTTTTATGATCTTAGAACCATACTGTTTTGCCCAGGTTTTTAAAAAGAGACATTGTTACTGGGTTTTATTACATAGTTTTGATAGCGATATATTATATGAAATCAACTTTATAAATTTTGTATTAAGGTAGCAGTGCCAGTACCTGAAATTGATTCAAAATGCTTCAGATACTCAATTACTTTTTAACACTGTTACACAATGCAGTGACTTTTATCTTCTGTATCACAAGAATTTGATGATGCAACATCATTGTAATTGATTCATTTTCTCAATTAAATAAAGCTACTGTGCTTTCCTTTATATGAATGCCACGTAGACCAGAGTTAGATGTATTATCGCCTTTCTCTGGCTCAGATATATTGCCTTAAAGGCTATATTCTGTTCCTCTGTTAATTCCACCAGAAAATTTAAGGCCACGGTCATATTTTTCCAATTCTGAACTGCTATGTACTCGGCTGTATTTATATTAGGCATATTTTTCACTGCTAAACTCTTTGTTGCTTACTTTCTTCAAGATCACATTACTGTACGGGCGCAGAAACCATAAAGCAGATCCAAACAAAGTCGACCTCCAGTCACTGCCTCTGCTTTTGCACACAGTTCATGAAAAAGTGAAGCCCCTAGTTTTATAGCACATTAAAAGCGGTACTAAGGGTGCTCAATATAAAATGTTGGCTTCGCGAATGCCTCTCTTTATTCTGGGTCTGCCTTCCAGAAGCTTGGCTGTGAGAGCAGAGTTCAGAGGAACACAATAATATTGTTAGGGCTGATGTACTGCCTGAACCTCGCAACATATGAGATGCTGTTTATAACGAACATGTCCAAGTCCACCCTCCTGCTTCTACGTCCCGCTTGTGTTGAGTTTTCTATGTCTAACTGACACCTGGGGACACAGCACAGACCAATAATCGCTCCAGTCATATGCTTTGCTCATCAGTCTCTAGAATCAGAACCAGCAGCATTTTGAAACACTCCTTAAATAACCTCTCCCTCTTCTGGGCATAGCTTCTTTTTCCTTCCATCAGCTGTGAGATCCAAGATTTTAAGCCACATTAACAGGGGACAGTTATACCTCATGCTAATGTAAGGCAGACCCTTGTATGTTTAAACCAGGAAGAAAGTCTTCACAACGGGCGGACCTAAATCATCAGCAAGGTCTTAGGGTATTACTGCGGTAACATTTACCACGTATTTCCTTGCAAGGACCATACAGTTGGCAATTAGAAAAGCTCCTATAATAAGACCCGTGACTTTGGAAAGTGATCCTGCAAAGGCAACTGTCAATGTCAAATTTGGCTTATGGGGCCTCGACGATTTAGTCAATGACCCTGGTGAGAAAAAGCGACTTTGGAAGGCTCCTATCACACTTCTGTGTCTGCAGAGGTACATTTTACGCACACAGTGCTAAAACAGACCTTGCTGCCAGCCCTTTTACATTATATTCAGAAGCACAATCAGAAAACGAAAATGAATCCACCTGTGCAACTTAGGGAAGTCACCGGCTACAGCCTTCATCTTCTCTTTTACTCTCTGAAATGATGGCTTGCCCTGCAGCTCTTGTCTGAGAGATTTATGTGTGACCTGGGTCAGATCTTCCAATATCAGTTGACAAATTTTCTCTTTACATATTTACTGCTTCCCAAGCTTGTGTTATTTTCTCTTCCACAGAAAAAAAGAAATATAAAATTAAATCATAAGGTTGGAATTTTAAAAGAATATCGCTTTTATTTGCTGTGCTACTGGCATCGCATTCTAGCTTTCAGTGTTGAACTCTATTTTCCTTTTAAACCTCAAATTTTAGGAACTATAGCTATTTGGCAGGGATTCTCTTTTCAAATCAGATGCATTAAGCTGTAACTCTGCCTAGATACAAGCAGGGATTATGGCAGACTGAGATTTTATATTCTAAATGAAGAATAATGACCTAAATTTTTTTTGTTGTTGTTTTTTAAGTGGATGGGACCTCCAAGATCTAGTTTAATCTAGTCATCTGGCTGTTAGGGAAACTGAGGCTCAGAGGGGAGCAGTGCCCCAGAGAGAACCCGGCTTAGAACTGACTGCTGGCGAGGGAGCTGCCTAGTGTGGGCGAAAATGCATCAACTTTGGAGTTGGAAAGATCCTTGGGATTCCAGCTCCCTCCCCCGTGGCTTCAGAAGCTCCCTCCCCTCACCAGGTTTATGGCTCTTGTCTACAAAGTGAAGGATGAGCTAGAGGGGCTCAAATGTCCCTCTAACCCCTGCTCGCCGCCAACCCCCGCAGAGCTGCCCCTTCAGCCCCCATGACTTTCCTCCTACCTGAGGGGGACCTGCCACGGGCATTCAATCTGACTGTATCTGGCACTGTGCTAGAATTCAGGGTGGTACCTTCTCTACTCCATCATAACTTGCAAAATCAAAGTGCCCAAATCTCAAAAAGCCCTCAGTGAGAGAGAGAGAGAGAAAAAAAAATCACTTCCACATGACCGCAAACTGAATACACACTGCTTAGTCCCACTAACTTGAGTTCCCAAACAAAGGACTGGTTTTTGTTTGTTTGTTTTCGAAAAGGAACAGAACAAAATTTACCGTGGCTAACTACAAATGGGGATCTTGGCAAACTGATGTTATTAGACAGGAATGCATCATGAGCCAAGATAAATGAATAATATATGTTATTTCTAAGAATACAAAATGGAAAAGTGTAATTTGCTCGTGCCATCCTGTCTCCCCTGCTCATCAGCCTCTGTCCTCTGTTCAAGTTCCTAACATGCCTGAGTCTATTAGCAAAGCTTGTATAGAACAAAACAAAACCAAAAGCAAGTCACAGGAGGATTTTGTAAGGGGCGACTCAGTAAGGCGCAAGAAAGCCGCTATGATTCCCACAAGCTAAGATCCACTCACTGGCCCCTTCTCTCCGCCCCACATCTCAGACTCCAGCCAGGGTGTTGCATTCAGGAGTGACCAGTTCTGAGAATTGAAAACAGCCATCCTGGAATTTAACAAACAGCTGGGTGGGATGAAAGGCTCTTATAAGATGCCTAGAGGAGGGCACAGCTCAGATGGGACCGGACAGAAAATCATCACAGCCATAAATTAGATCACTTGGCTCTTACTGCTTCCTGAGTACCAAGGACGGTGCATTTTCGCACAAGACACAACGGCTGGCGCATCCAGGTATAGGATTAACATTATTCATTCACTGGGTCTGCCAGTCAGCGAGCAGGAAAGAAAAGGGCCCGACTGCCAGGCTATGCCCTTTTATCCTTGTGTATTTAAAACTGACACAACTCATGTCCTCCTCCACACAGGTGTGTGTACAGCCGCCAGAGTAAATCATCCCCTGGGCAAACAAATGAGTCTTAATATTTAGACCTGAATTTTGTGAGAAAAGCTGGGGCTTCGAATTGCAATTCAAAATGACCAATGTGACTCACAAAATTAACCTCTTCCCTAATGGTACAAGGTCTGGCCAAGGAGTCCATTAGGTTCATTAGCCTTTCAGAAAGGATTTTAGTCTTTTGCCGTATCAAACTTTTCTCTCTTCTTTGCTCCAAAAAAGTGTGGTCTTTTTTTTTTTCAGAATCTAGGTTATCA